TTATCTTAATTTGATAAAGGCTATCTATGAAAAACCAACAGCCAACATCATACTAAATGGTCAAAAACTGAAAACCTTCATGCTAAAATCAGGAACAAGACAAGGATGTCCACTATCACCACTCCTGTTCAACATAATTTTGGAAACATTAGCCACAGCAATTAGACAAGAGAAAGAAATAACAGGAATAAAGATAGGAAAGGAAGAAGTTAGACTGTCATTATTTGCTGATGATATGATACTCTACATAGAAGACCCATAAAACTCTGCCAAAAGACTTCTAGACTTAATTGACAGATTCAGTACAGTAGCTGGATACAAGGTCAACACTCAAAAATCAATAGCCTTAGGGCTGGGGATTTAGCTCAGTGGTTCCACTGTCTTTCTGGCAAGTGCAAGGTCCTGAGTTCGATCCCCAGTACCAAAGAAAAAAAATCAATAGCCTTCTTGTACACAAATAACAGACTTACTGAAAGAGAAATTAGGGAAACAATCCCTTTCACAACAGCATCTCAAAAAATGAAATATTTAGAAATCAATCTAATGAAGGAAGAAAAATACCTCTATATTGAGAACTACAGCACTCTGAAAAAAGATATCAAAGAGGATATAAGAAAATAGAAAGACATCCCCTGTTCCTGGGTAGGAAGAACCAATATAGTGAAAATGGCCATACTTCCAAAGCTGCTATATAGATTCAATGCAATCCCAATTGAAACCCCAAAAGCATATTTCACAGAACTAGAGAATACAATCCAAAAATTCATCTGGAACTAGAAGAGACCTAGAATAGCAAAAGTAATTCTAGGCAACAGAGTCATGGAAAGGGGTATCACAACTTGAAACTATACTACAAAGCCACTGTGATAAAAACAGCATGGTACTGGCAAAGAAACAGACCCAAGGATCAGTAGAATAGATCAGAGGATGCAGAGACAACTCCAAACATACTCAGCCACCTCATCTTTGACAAAGGAGCCAACCATCCTCACTGGAGGAAAGATAGCCTCTTTAATAATTGGTGTTGGAAAAACTGGGTTTCAACTTGCCAAAGATTAAAACTAGACCCCTCTCTGTCACCATGCATTAAACTAAAATCCAAGTGGATTAAAGATCTAAATATTAAAACAGAAACACTATACTTGCTGGAAGGTAAGTTAGGTAAAACTCTTGAAGACATTGGCACAGGAAAAGACTTTATGAACAAATCCTCAGTAGCACAGGAGCTAGCAGAAAGAATCAACAACTGGGATCTCATCTTATGAAAAAGCTTCTGCACTGCAAGAGAAACCACCAACAGAGCTAACAGACAACCTACAATGTGGGAAAAATTTTTACCAGCTGTTCCTCAGACAAAGGTCTCCTATCTAGAATATATAAAGAACTCAAAAAAATCAGACACCCCCCAAACATAAAGACCCAATTCAAAAAATGAGCATCTGAAATGAACAGACATTTCTCAGACAAAGAAGTAGAAATAGCAAATAAACACATGAAAAAAATGTTCAACATCACTGGTCATTCGAGAGATGCAGATGAAAACAATGCTGAGATTCCACCTCACCCCAGAAAGAGTGGCTGCTATCAAGAAATCAACCAATAACAAATGCTGGCGGGGGTGTGGGGAGAAAGGAACCCTTCTCCATTGTTGGTGGGA